ACGAAAAGTGACATTGACCATCACATTATAACGCCCCAACGACTAAAAGGGGCAAACGTGTTCAGTAACAATATATGAAACCGTAACACGCAGATTTAGAGTTGAATGCCCTTAACACTAGGCTATGAAAAGGATAAGATTGTGTGTTTTGGCCAACCAGTGGTACAGCGTTATTTCTACGGACTTACAACGCTAGAAACTGGATTTCGATACCCGTGGTGAGCAGCGCACGGATAATCCATTCTGTAACTTTGTGCTTAACTTCAAAGATGTGTGTTTTGACCCTATGTGGCAGTGCAACACTATTTTACCGCGTCGTTATATTTTCTTTGACAATACTGTGACTTAGAAGGTTGATGAATGTTTTCATGTGGTGAGAATAGCGTCGAATTTGTACATTTTGAGTCTTTAGATACATATTTAGATACACAATTTACTTCTGAAAAATCTGTAGTCGGAGGTTTGATAATCGTTATTTTGCGCTACGTGAATGAGTTAAATTGTTTTACGTGTAGTTTGTCACCTATGTTTCGACACGATGAAAAACCACGATGAACTTCCTTGACCACATTCGCTCTCCGAGCGAATATATATCTAAGCGAAGTCATATCGTAATATTTTCGTTTCTTTACGCTATAATAACTTGTCTAATAATGATAATAATAAAATAATTCAAGCGCTACTCAAAAATGTTTTTCGTACTATCAAAGAATTCAAGATACTTGATTCAACTTTCATATGACCGATAAGAATCGTCTTCGTTTAACTTTAGGTTTACCTGAACCAATCTTCGTTAAATAGACAAGCTAGCCCTGACTTATAAATCTAGATCTTCCCCTTGACTAGAATTATGGCTTACGAAATCGAACTTTATTAGTTACACACAAAACCTGGACGGAAATGCATGTGATCTGCATATGAGACTTCCCAGAGAGGTTATTACAGGGAACATTACAACACAACGGTACCTAAAATCCTCGGTTTGAATGACTTTTACATACGACATCACGAGCACCTGGGTTCCAAAGAAGTTTGCTGTCCAGACACACACAAATTGCTACTTTTCTCCACTTTATTCGAAGTACAGTACCTTTAACAACTTGATGCCACAGCAGTTTTTTTTTTTCTAAGAAGTGGGTACACAGCAATATCGAGGCATATTTCTTTAGGCATTTTCCAAGACCTAATGCTTGGCAAATCTCAACATATATCAGAAGTGTGCCGTAAAAACCTCTGTTGTTCCAACCTGGTGGTTTGTGAGCCAATCAAAGCTATTGTCTTTATCTCAGCTTAGATAAATCATAGACTAGTGATCTAAAATCCTGCCACAACTACAGCTCTAGTTGTTATAAAGCTGCCCCCCCCCCAGTGGCACAGCGGTATGTCTGCGGAATTAAAAGGCTAGAATCCA